AGCATGTCACAACATAATGTCAATATTGCAGCATCATGCTATACAAGGAGGAGAATGTGATTTTGAGGACCTGTAAGCCACAGCATCACATACAAAGGTCTGCCCAGAAAAACCACTAGCACTGGGAAGCTTCATGACAGCCAGGTTTTGGTTTTTACTTTGGTTTTTGGTAGTTTATTACTGCAATGAAATGTCACATTTCAAACTTAGAACAATCTACTGAAATATGTATTATTTAAAAAGCAAAAGTAAAATCAACACGCACAAATGAGAACTCTATTATACAAAATTGCTGGGATTACAACCAGTCTAATTATGAAATACACATCCCTTCTATTCCCCACCCGCCCAATTCATCTGTTTGCATGTATTGTCAGATTAGTTAAATATTTGGGGTGACCTGCACATTGACTTTCAACACGCTGAAATTTGAAATACCCAGGAATTTATTGCTCAAAACAGAAATATTGCCAAAGATAGGCGAGTCTGTTTTGGAGTGAATGCCATATAGACTGTCAAACACTTCAGAGCCCAACAAAAGGGTTTATTTACTAAAAGTGACCAACGAAGACAGTAGAGACACCCAGGGTGGTCTCACAAAAGAGGACTATTACAGACAGTCTGATGAATTATGCATACACACCTTTTCCCATTTAAGCATATATCATTGTATAGCATAAATTCCAAGAGCTCACTGTAGAGCAAATCTGAGATTTGAAAGAAGACACAAAAGCATTAACCTATATATCCTAGATAAGCAGCTAAAACTAATGCTGATCACTCCAGAGTATTAAGAATTTATTCTACTTTTCTGCACAGTAACTGATTTCCATTACTGCAAAGCATTTCCCATCAGACAAATTTCACATGACTCAGGACAGACAGACCATGTTGCAAACCCTTTGACAGCAATGTATTTGGAATACCGCATTTGTTTATTTCTCCCAACTTTAGTCAGGTATTGATGAAGACACATACAAAGGATAGCTTCCATTTACAATATCAACACACTATTCCTGTAAATGTATAGAAGTCACCAAGTTTACAAATTATCCTACATTAAGAATTATATTTTTTTTTTAGATTTTTAAACATGGCCTGTTGGAGACTAAAAACACTTAACTGAACATTTAACTGTTCAGAAAACAGCTAACAATCATTCTTATATGACATAGGATTATTCTATAATAATCATAGTATTTCTGTATTATTGAATTCTTTGTAGATGTCCATCATAGTACTGTAATCTCCAGAGTTGCCACAAATATTTCTTCCATACATGTTAACAGAAGATGTGCACAACTTTGGAAGACAATACAAACGGCATTGCTAGCGTGAATAAGAAAGAATTCTCTTCGTTCTTAATGTATGAGATTACATGACCCATGAACAATAACTGGGATGCATATTCCTTTATGCCTCAAAGCTGTTATACACAACTAAATTCTGAACCGTTCCTCACCCTCTCTGAAGTGCTTCAATTCTTAACTTCTGCTTATGTTAGTCACTGCGTTTTCTTGGCTGTTTTTTTTGAGGGTTTTTTTGGGGTTTTTTGGGTTTGTTTTTTTTTTTTAAACACGTGGCCATCAATACACAGCTACGATGCCAAGGAATACCACTTTGTCCTCTCCTCTGATTCCCTTGCTGAAACTGCTCACCTGCCCACATAATATATTCAGTCACCTAGGTCTAATCCCACATAGTCACAACCGCAAATATGCATATGATGTCACTAGCGGAGCATAAACTTGTTGTAACAGCTTTCATACTCATTTTGACAAAAGGAATCTATATTCTAAAACCCAATGCCGTAAGTGTCACGAAAGAAAACATAAAGCTGCTTGACAAAGGCATATGCATACACACATATTTGCACATTCCTAACTCATGTACTAAGCCAGGCTTCATTACACCTACATATACTGGTCACATGCCAGTGCTCCAATTCTAATATTAATTTTCCCTGTGCAATATCACTGGGTCTCTCCATCAACCTGGGGGAAAGCTCAAGCTACTCCGGGCCAGTTCCAACAGAAGCCATGGGATATCTGCATTCCCCTTCAGAGGGACCCTTCTCCCTCTGCGTAACATGAAGAGCTACCTCTCACAATCACGATATCCTGAAAATATCCCTAATAAATAACTGGTGGTAAACAATACCACCAGCCAAGAGGCAGCAATTCACTGCTGCTCCTTCCCATTGCCAGGAAAGCAGTACCAGACCCAGCAAAACCAGCAGACTTCCCAGTAACAGAACCATGTCCTCACCTACAAAGTCACCAGCTCAATTTCATTGGGTCCTTTATTTCACCTACTACCCAGTCACAAGTCTCCCACAGCACAGAACTCTCTGGGGTGAGCTCGTTGTATTCATTCCCCACCTCACGAACTACCGCAAACTTTTCAAGCGGAGACTGAAGCTAAACCACACCAGCTGCACAGCTTGCAAGACCATTAACCATTTTATGGTGGTACTTTGTGCGTAGAAGTCTGCTTCATCCAAGAAGCCTAATATGCTTGTAACCACCAGTCTCAGCATTTCAACACAAGGAAACTAAGGCAGAGTTCAGGTATCGGGTACACAGACCAACCAAAACACTAATAAAATCCATGTGTCCTGGCAATCAGTTTAAGCTCTAGATATGTTACATATAAATCATAAGCAAGATGAAGCTTTTAAAGTTAAGGTCAGCTTTACTAGAAAAAAAAAAAAAAAAGAAAATTTGGAATTTCATTTTAAGTACCAAAAAAACCTCAAACCACCTTTAAGACCTATCTACATTACATTTCAAATTACAGTACAAACCTATTTCATAAGATTAAGATGTCAAGTATTAAAGGGATTAAAAGCTCAGTCATACCCTTGTATACTCTAGATCCAAAATAACAAGCATAGAAGTGTTCATCTGAATTCAAGAGTTTTATGGTCATTTCACAACAATTCATCTTCCGTTTCACACGCCACTTATTCCTGAATCTTTCACTCAATACATAAGCCTTTTGCCAGTGTGCAGAGTATCACTTATGAAAGAAAACTTAGAAATATGAATGAAGACATCAGATCATGTAAAACAATAGGAAGTTTACTGTAATCTCTGCAATGAAGATAATGAATTCCATCACCTATTTTACTGGTCAACCTAAATTACACAGTTGTTTTTATCAGTTGATATACACTGCCTAATCAAATAGGTGCCATTTCGTAGTGTTTCCCATTATTTATTATAAAGTATATGAATAATTTAACATTACATTTAAGAGTCCTGCTAATGTCAGGACTGTGTGCGCCAGGGAAGAAACATCTCCATAAACACTAGGATACATTGACTCATTGTAAAAAGATGATTAAGGCTGCTAATCACATATTTCTCATGCTCCAGATAAGCTCAGCATCATATAGTTAAACATGATCACTAAACCTGTTCACATACTTTTAACACTGAGATAATCAGCTACATCAATGATCCCCATCATAAAAGCCAGAGCATACACAGAGCTAGATTAGCAATTTAAAGGCAACACACAAAAGAAATGCTCAGTTTCAGCAGCAGATAGATCAGACCAGGCTATTTCTGATTTTTCTTGCATTTACTAAGTACTATAGTTAAAAAAAAAAAAAAGCATAACATACAACACTAAGGACACCATTTCTCTGAAACAGGTTCCAATGTCTGACGACTCTGCTTTTATCATGATACTTCCTTTGTATTTAGTCATATTTTTAAAAAACTCAGAATAAGTAGCAATTTCTTGGAAACAGTTTATCTTTTGGTAGCCTTAAGCATATTTGATGCATCCAGTGAGTGAAAAGGCTGAAGTACTTCCATGAAAATTAATCTCAAAATTTGAGCTTGCACAGCACAGGTTCTATACAGCCAGGTTAGCTCCTTAAACCCCAGCCTTTCTGACTGAGAACAATAGTGACCACGCATACAGCATTGTATTGTTTCAGCTCCACTGCCTATCAACGCAATTATCAGTGACCACCAAAAAGAGACACATTTAGAGGACCTGTAAATACCTATTTCTTACAGCATGTCCCTACAGTATCTGAAGTAAAAGTCTATCTGCAAGAATACAAGCTTAAATGTACTAATATTGTCAGTACTAGCCTGGAATACTATTGGAAAGTAATAGTCTTCATAGTAATTTCCAGATAGGGAAGTCATCTGCACTGCTACTTGTGCATTTTAAAACAACTCTCCATCATTTTGAAAGGGCTCCTTCCTTAAATAAAGGCAGAAGCAATTCAGTACCCTATACTTAGTTTTATCCCACAGAAGGAAAAAAAGCCACCTGTATATGCTAACACAGAACTCACAGCAACAAAAGGTGAACAAAAGCTCCATCAAGATTTAGCAAGACAAAGGCATATTGTTTCCATGTGTATTAAAATACTCTTATGTGAAGCTACTTTACATGGACAAACTGCATAACTACGGAAGTATTCAGATATGAATGATTTATATTTATGTTTTAAGCTTTTACTGTAACTTTGTAAAAACCATTCAATTTGTATTAAGGCTAAGACTTTCAAGAATAAATCAAGTCCAAAGCAGGATGATTTCTTTTATACGAGAACTTACACGAACAAAAGTGCAGTACAATACAGCAGGTGATTTCATGTTTAATTTCCAAATGTAAGAGGAGGAGGAAATGTTAGCATATACACTACAAAGAAAGCCTGCGTCAAAGCTTAACTTATCAGTTCAAGATCAGCTCTACAAATTAACATCAGCACAAACTTTTCAAATTAACACAGACAATATTACTACGAATATGGCTTAATCCGCACAATTTCTCTACGTTTCAACAAAGAGGGAAAGACTCGACATAACAATTCATCATGAAACATCCAGGATAAAATCTGGGGGGGGTCTACATAGAAAACAACGTAAAATTCTGAGTGCCAATGTCATTTAATATTTAACAAGGTATTTTGCCACAGGGTAGTCTCACAAAAGCAATCCCACCTTATTATCCTCATTTCTCTCACTTACATGTATGCTGGAGAAAGTGGCGATGACCTGGATGTTTTAAGCACAGGAACTGGGAATTTCCAGATAGCAGGAGAGCTCGTTTTCCATTTCAATGGCATGTTGTCACCACGGTACTACAATAACAGTAAACAGCGTTTCCATAACAGACTACCAACTAGGACTTCCATTCCACACACTACTGACACAGCAGTGGCTGCTGCTAAGAACAAGGAAATGATTCTGCCAATGCCCTTAAACCGATGCTTCCAATCTGTAAAACAGGGCTGCAAGGCATCTCCTTTTAAATCCTGCTGTCCCCTAAAGCAATATGATGATTCTATCCTTCTAACTCAACAATAGTGCCACCTCGTTAGGGAAGCGCTGACTGCAGTATATGTTTAAAAAAAAAAAAAAGAAAGACTGCACTGTGCACACCAGCACAATGCAGCTTCATTTAATAAAAGCAGCTAATTTTTAAAGCACTGTTTCTGATGCTATTGTTCTACCTTAACAGGGACACTGCAGCACTGTACTATATTCTCTTCCTATTAACCTCATTTCTGACCAATGGAAGCAGAAAAAAAAAAAAAAAGAGTTTCATATCAAAATGAAACAACATACCTACTCAGAATACACTTGTCATCCTCTGAACATTCTTCTTTTGAGCTGCAACAGTACAAATGGGATATAAATCTCAGCATAGCCTTAGGCCACGGCTAATAGAGATCAGTGACTAAATTCAGCAGCCTGTTTTCCTCCTGTGCAAGCTCTGACCAAACAATACAAGAGTGCCATTATGGAAAAAGCCCACTGCAAAAAAAATCAGTCCTTCTAATCCATAGCTAGGAAGACAAAATAAAGCACAAATCGCTGTAGGTTTCTGCATGCTCTTCTAATAGCTTCTGGTTCAGGATGCTCTCATTTTCCTATTCTCATTTCCAAGGAGGATGAGCAAAATCTCATGCATTTTACAACATGCTATGGGAACACAAATACCACTCTGTCTTCTGCAGTAGAGAAGCAGAGTGTAGCACGCTGTTAATAGCAGTCTTTGTAGGGACGCTATCAACAATCTAACTCTCAACCCACCCACCCCCCACCCCCAGCAGCTCACAAATTGCCTGAAGAACTGATGAAGCAGACTGTCACGCAGGTGTCCATCAGGGACCACTCTGCAACTCTGTGCTCTGCTTGGTGACCTCCCGAGGCTGATGATAGTGGGGAGCATAGAAGGTAAGCTATTAAAAAGGGAACGGAGAATTTCATAGCATATTGTGCGTAAGCAGAGCTGGCTTCTACAGAAATGAAGGTTGAGCTCCAATTATACTGACTCCCTTACAGGAAAAAAAACCAACATTAAAAAAAATCACTTTTAAAGTATTGCCACAGTAGACTGAATCAACACTAAGCCATTTAATCTACAGATTTCAGAATAGTCTTTATACAGCATGACAATTTTTCTGTTCATCAGGACAGCTTAATCCTATCACAAAAAAGCCAACACCCTGATGTGCTACTCAGCAATAAAGAATAGAACCAGGAGCAGAATTTCTTTAAATTTAAAATATTTTAATAACATTTAATAACACTCTGATGGGTTCTTCAGAATGGTGAAATATACGTTGTTACGTTTATTTTTGGGATGAAATCACCAGGGAATAATTGCTACTTCTGATCGTTATTATTGAAAATGTTTGCCCAAAATAGTTCTGGGCATTTGAAGCTGTTACCATAACCACAGGCAAGGAACTAAAATAACCCAGGATGATCACAGACAAGGACTAATTCAAAACCAGATGCACCTATTTAACAAACAATTGAGAAGCTCTCTCCTACTTCTTGGAAGAAGTCCCAAATTACGCTTGAGCAGCATTAACACAGGCAACAAATTTCACAGGAACGGCTACTTGAAAGCTGAACAGACATTTGCTGTGTAGGACATAGTGTTTACATGCTATAAATATAACGAAACACTAGACCTGCAGAGAGCAAGTATGCAGTTTTAGCATAAAGAAATCTTACTTTCAGTAAAGAAATTAATGTATTTACATGGCAACAGCCATGCTTATTTGCACGCATTGTAAATATTGCATGCAAGTCTCATACGTACAGATAACACCAGACTACCAGATCACGCCTTCTCCGCACTGAAGGCCTAAAGTTAAGCTGAAAGAGATGTTAGATAGCAGCTATTATAACCACAAAGAAAAATATCACAATTTTGAATTCATACAGTCAATTTTGCTTCTGCATTTGCCATCATACACAAACTGTCTTAAAATACAACAAGCAAATGCTGTTACTCCCTTCCTCACACTGAGTGCGCAGCCAGTGCAACCAACTGGTAACCACTTTTAAAGTCTGTATCTCCCTGCTCTGCCAACCCCATGGAACTACTACACATTTTATTTATTAATAGCAGCATTACTAATATAAAAGAATGAGGCTAAGGACAATCAATGGGCCACTTTTGAAAAAGTAACTCTTGAAATACCCTTTTGACCAGTAAAAAAAAAGCCAACTCAAGCCACACAGTCATTCCCAAGCATTGACTGGTGTTTAAGTCTATCAACGTACATCCAGAAATCAGAGTTACTTCTCACTTCTGACCCCAACAAGATCATCCACCCTACAGGGCAACGTTAGTCCTCAAATAACTACTCTCCTTTGGGTGCTTCTGTTCACATTTATTTTTCCATCTAACTTACAAGCAACCTAACTAAAATATTTGTAGAAGAAACAATTTTTTTTTTAAAGCATATGAAGCCCAAACATTGCCCAAATTCATCTCCTCCTAATGTCCAGTACATATGACTTGATGAAACGGACAATATACAAAATGTGGAATTGAAGCAAGTAGCAGTGCCAGGTACGCTAAAAATAGGGAAATGCTTTTCACTTGCAAAAGAGCCATGTGAGAAATGAATCACCTATCTTCACATAAGGAGAAAAAAAAAAAATCAATACCATTTTCTTCCTGTCACAAATCTATTACATATTCCCAGGGAAACGACTACCTAAATGTCTTCTATGCTTTACATAAACTATTCCTAATACAACAGAAAATCACAGTATATTATTCTGTTATTTTAATTGAGACTTAAAAATAACAGTTTAGTTACACATTTAAAAATATGGGAAAATAATCTGATCTCCTGGAGTGCATTGCACTCACTGAATGTACATTTTCTGTTCTCATATTACATTGCTTTGCCACATATCCCCAAATTAACTGGTATTGAGGGCCAAAAGCAGCATTATAGCCCTGTGCAGAATCCTAATTTCTGAGAAAACAGTTATTCCTGGACAAGTGCTATGAAAACACACCAAATTGGGGCATGAAACCAGAGATCTGCTTTTAAGTTTAACACACTTAAATGCTTAAGTCCCATGATAACTGCACAGAATAAACAGCTGTTTGGGACCGTTCAAGGGTTTGTTTTCTGTATTTTTCTCACAAGCAAGTTCACATGGAAGATTAAGAGCATCTACCATTTATAACTTGCTTACAGTTACATTCTACTACTCTTAGTCTTCTATATCTTCTATTCTGTATACAAAAGATAACAAAGTCCTTGGGGTTTAAGATATCACTTCCACGCTAGTATTTCCAAAGCCGCACTAAGCAGACGGACACCAAAGTAACTGACAGGGTATCAAGCACTTCTGAAGAAAACAACTCCACAAAGGAACTGAACAGGTGGCATAAGAACAAAAAAAGAAAACAGAAGGACCAAAGGCAAGATCCCAAACTGCCATTTTACAGACCTGAGCTGTTACCAAGGCCAGAATCTACTGACTGAGGCTGTCCAGCAGGGCAGCTCTGATCCCATAAAAAGTACATAGAAGAGTGCTTATCAGAGCAAGGCATTTCTTATCCTTCTTCCTCCACCCCAAATTCTTCTTCACTATTGACCAACAAGCCAGATTTGGCCCCAAATGAGAGAAGCAGGCACACAGCGCTGTACTCCACAAGCACATGAACAAACCACAGACAGCACCACCCCTTGCAAACATGCTGACCACAGCATCTTTTCTTCTGCAAGCTCTTCAACATCTTCAGGGTAGGAATGCAGTCAAAACCACTTCCCTTGTGATTCTCTTCCTTCCTTTGCGCAACCTGAACACTAAGCTACTACCACATTATTTTGTCTGTGCTGACCTTCTATACATATGCCTTTGCTGCATTTTACCTGCATTATAAAACACAAGTTCTCCTCGTACAGCCCAGTATGCTTACATTTCTGGGGTGTGTATGCTTCCTACAAAACTTATAAACCATCTCTGCATTTCCCATAAGACTTCCCTTGATGGCTGCTGAAAGAAAAAAAACACCACAGGCAGAAAGATACATCAGAGCCCAGTGGCAAGGTAAAGCTATACTAGTTTTCTAGTATATTCTGAAAATATTTACTCTTTGACTTGGAATGCCACATGAATTTTTGTAGGAAAACTAAGCAGAGTAAAAGTTAACTTCTAGACTTGTTAGACAAGCAAGCAAGACAAATGCGCTTGATTTTTCATCAGTTTGCACAGATTGATTTAACTTACTTTTTCAGCCATCAAACTATTAAAAACAAAACAAAAAAAATTTTGCTCGGCCAAGTGATTTGCTGCAATTAAATGATTTGCTGTTCCACTCTAACAAGCTGCTTACCTATCTCCTTTTATTCATCTACTACATATCAGAGGAACTGAAAGCACTAGCTGGAAATAGGGTTATGCTATACAGAAACTTTCTCAAGTCTAGCAAACCCTTTCTGGCATGGCTTCTGCACTTCCAGAACCCCAGGCTTCTTTTAGCTCTACAGAAAGAAAAATGTTCAAAGTTACAGCGACAGTGCGATTTACATCTCCCATTTTCATCTAGATATGTAGACAACGGAAAGGTCTAAATATTTGTCACACATAACTGTGTGTGCTCATATAAGAAAAGATGCCAGACTCAACAACACATTAAAATAGGTTAAAATGGTGGTGTTAAGACCAGTAAACATCTTCAGACTTCTAGGATTCTTTTCTCCAACACCTATGTTTAAAATAAATTTATGTTATTGTATGATAAAACCTCTGTTTTATGATATCAGCACTAGCAAAGCTCGCTTCAAGCCAAAGGCAGAAACTCAGTTTCACATTGGAAGAAACTG